ATAATTCTGACTTCAGCTGTATAAGCTATGTATCTTATGGTACGTGACCTAGATTTGAAGTTTTTAGAGGAGTTAGCTGATACATTTTCTCATTAGCCAATTAGCAGATCCTTCTTTTTCTGAAGGAGCAATCACAGATCCCTCTTGCTATTAACTATATTAAAACGTTTTCAAAACCTTCAGGCTTAACTTTAAATTTCGATAAATGTGTGCTGCTTGCTATAAAGTCCTGCTCGGCCTCTTTTCTTTAGAATATCCCTGTTCAATCTCAAGTATGCTACTTGGGTAAAACTATTTCCAAAGATGACCATGTTAGAGTTAGAGACCCAGTAATTGCCAAAACCACAAAATTAATTCCAAGGGACTTCTCTTTAAGAGGGAGGGGACTCCTTGCGGAAGCTGAGGGTATTTCGAGAGTACCATATCCTGCTCTCTCACTGTTTGTGAACAAGTCTTTCATGTGCTGAGGTTGATAGAATGCTTTTTGACTTTCTTTGGAAAAACAGAAGACTGTTATTATAAACGGTTATGATTATGGGAGTCTAAACCTTCTTGATTGTTCCTCTATAATACATTCAAGATAAATTGCTTAGAAATATGATCCTGATTCCCTTTAGAATGCAATTCCCAAGTATATTTTCTCCAAAGTTGTTGGTCTCCCTTTTTTATTAGTATGTAATGATAATATTTCGTCACTTCCTATTAAATTATTCAATTTCCTTAAGCTTGGCATCTAATATATTAACACAGCTTCAGTCCCCATTGGTATTATATCTGGAATAACCATGATATCTGTTATTAAAATAAATCTATATTTTTTCCTAATTGGTTTAGGGACAATATCTGCTTAGTTTCTCGACTTTTTAAAAATAATGGTCATTTACTTTCTTATTCTGAGTTCTCAAGTAAATACTGTATTCTGATAACCCCATGAAAGTTTTCCATAGTCATGGATGCATTTCCCAGATGAGCTATTGCCCTTTTAAAAAACTCTCTTGATTCTGTTCTCCCCTTCACTGATTAATGCTTGTGAAACGGTGATTGGAAAGTTTTATGCTTGACTCTTCTCTCAGAAATAGAAAGATTCGGCATGTATTTTAGAATGAAATATCCTCCCTATTTGTCAAAATTCATGTGGCTCAAATCTGGCCCAAACCAGACACTTACACTGGCCCACATACCGCATGGAATGATGGCACTTGGGCGGTGCGCTCTTGTTTGCCAGATCTGGGCCACAAATAAGCCATAGCAATGTCACGAATCAGCCAGAATTCAACCACATGAACCAGAGCTGACCCTATTCTGGGCCACAGTGCGCTTTTATTCTGGCCCAGATCCGGCCCACACCAGACACTTACATCTGAACCACATACTGAATGGAATAATGGCTCTAGGGCGGTCCGCTCCTGTTTGTCAGATCTGGGCCACAAATAAGCCATAGCAATGTCACGAATCAGCCAGAATTCAACCACATGAACCAAAGCTGACCCTATTCTGGGCCACTGTGCGCTTTTATTCTGGCCCAGATCCGGCCCACACCATACACTTACATCTGGACCACATACTGAATGGAATAAGGGCTCTAGGGCGGTCCGCTCCTGTTTGTCAGATCTGGGCCACAAATAAGCCATAGCAATATCACGAATCAGCCAGAATTCAACCACATGAACCAGAGCTGACCCTATTCTGGGCCACTGTGCGCTTTTATTCTGGCCCAGATCCGGCCCACACCAGACACTTACATCTGAACCACATACTGAACGGAATGCTGGCTCTAGGGCGGTCTGCTCCTGTTTGTCAGATCTGGGCCAAAATAAGCCAAAGCAAGTCACATATTAGCCAGTATTCAACCAAAAGAACCAGAACTGACCCTATTCTGGGCCACAGTTTGCTTTTATTCTGGCCCAAATCTGGCCTATAGCTTCTAATAATGGATTAAACATTGTTGAACATCAGTGAATTACATTATTTCATCACAGCTTGTGCCTCACTTCATTTTGTTTGCTGTAATGAACAAACTTTTCAAGCAAAGTTCTTAAAAGTGACAGCAGCCCAAAAGAACATTTATATTAAGAGGTTCAGGGCTATGAGCCCAACTAAAGCAAACACTTTTCTCCATGATGGTGACTTTAGTCTATGTGGCCCACATTTGTTTTAGGATAACTGGGCCACATTTGTCATATCTTCTCCGGGCCACTATAAACTGTAATCCACATTAGCCAGAGTTTACTGTGCTAAATATTTGCCAAAAGTGGCCAACATATGTTTTAAGATAACTGGGCCACATTTGTCATATCTTCTCCGGGCCACTATAAGCTGTAATCCACATTAGCCAGAGTTTACTGTGCTAAGTATTCGCCAAAAGTGGCCCACATATGTTTTAAGATAACTGGGCCACATTTGCCATATCTTCTCTGGGCCACTATTGGCTAACGGCTGCATTAGCCAGAGTTACTGTGCCGAATATTTGTTAAAAGTGGCCCACATATGTTTTAAAATAACTGGGCCACATTTGTCATTCTTTCTCTGGGCCACATTAGGCTCACAGCCGCAATAGCCAGACCTAACTGCCAAATATTTGCCCAAAGTGGCCCACATTTGTTTTAGGAAAACTGGGCCACATTTGCCATATCTTCTCCTGGCCACTATAAGCTGTAATCCACATTAGCCAGAGTTTACTGTGCTAAATATTTTCCAAAAGTGGCCAACATATGTTTTAAGATAACTGGGCCACATTTGCCATGTCTTCTCTGGGCCACTATTGGCTAACGGCTGCATTAGCCAGAGTTACTGTGCCGAATATTTGTTAAAAGTGGCCCACATATGTTTTAAAATAACTGGGCCACATTTGTCATTTTTTCTCTGGGCCACATTAGGCTCACAGCCGCAATAGCCAGACCTAACTGCCAAATATTTGCCCAAAGTGGCCCACATTTGTTTTAGGATAACTGGGCCACATTTGCCATGTCTTCTCCGGGCCACTATAATCTATAATCCACATTTGCCAGAGTTTACTGTGCTAAATATTTGCCAAAAGTGGCCAACATATGTTTTAAGATAACTGGGCCACATTTGTCATATCTTCTCCGGGCCACTATAAGCTGTAATCCACATTAGCCAGAGTTTACTGTGCTAAGTATTCGCCAAAAGTGGCCCACATATGTTTTAAGATAACTGGGCCACATTTGCCATATCTTCTCTGGGCCACTATTGGCTAACGGCTGCATTAGCCAGAGTTTACTGTGCCGAATATTTGTTAAAAGTGGCCCACATACGTTTTAAAATAACTGGGCCACATTTGTCATTCTTTCTCTGGACCACATTAGGCTCACAGCCGCAATAGCCAGACCTAACTGCCAAATATTTGCCCAAAGTGGCCCACATTTGTTTTATAATAACTGGGCCCCTTTTGCCATATTTTCTTTGGGCCACATTAGGCTCACAGCCGCAATAGCCAGACCTAACTGCCAAATATTTGCCCAAAGTGGCCCACATTTGTTTTATAATAACTGGGCCCCTTTTGCCATATTTTCTTTGGGCCACATTAGGCTCACAGCTGCTATAGCCAGAGCTAACTGTGCCAAAAATTTGCCCAAAGTGGCCCACATTTGTTTTAGGATAACTGGGCCACATTTGCCATGTCTTCTCCAGGCCATTATAAGCTGTAATCCACATTAGCCAGAGTTTACTGTGCTAAAATTCGCCAAAAGTGGCCCGCATATATTTTATAATAACTGGGCCACATTAGGCTCACAGCCGCTATAGCCAGAGCTAACTGTGCCAAAAATTTGCCAAAAGTGGCCCACATATGTCTTATCATAACTGGGCCACATTTGCACCATGTGAGCCACTTTAGGTTTAGACCCAGATTACCCTTAAATGACTATGCCACTATTTTTCCAACCGTCTTTCACATTTGTCCTCCGTCATTTGGGCCAAATTGATCATTTTCCACATGGGCCACATTAGACTCACATTCAGATTACATTTTGCTATAAGTGCCAAATCTTTGCCTTAAATGGCCCATATATGAATTTGACTCTTTGGTCCCCCTTTGCCATTGTACAGCTGGGCCACTTCAGGCTTTTGTCTGGGCTGTAGGAAGACCACCAGTGCCGCATAACTGCCTAAAGTGGCCCACATTCGTATGCTATCTGGGTTTATTCCTCATGTCATATTTCACTGGAATAATTCATTTCATGACATTCCTTGGAATATTGAGTGGTCTTTACCCAACACATTTTTAATCACAAATAAGATGAAAGAGGTTTCGTTCAAATTGCTACATCGAGTTTATCCAGTGAATGTTTATATAAAAAATGCTTCCTGAAAATGCTCCCCTTAGTTCCTTTTGTGGAATAATAGATGAATCTATCGATCGTCTCTTTTGGGAATGTGTCCATGTTAAGATTTTTTTGCAAAGAATTAGGTTTATTCACACGTGTCTCTCTTTTAGATAATTTTTCTTTGTCATATAGGGAAGCCAGGCTGGTCAAGCTGGTTTTAGATATATTAATATGTAAATCTTACAGTATTGTCTCTTTTCTATAATACCCGGCGGACTGTATTTTATGTGACCTTTAAAATATCACTGTGACTCTGCTTTAAGATAGATTTAAAGCGATCTTTGAATGGCCAAAACCCCTCTAAAACCAGCCTGGTCGACTAGCTAAACCAGCCAACCAGCCTAAGCTGGTTTAAGCTTTTTTTTCAGTAGAGTAATCTTTTGTTTCTCTTTTTGTTTTGTTCTGTTGTCTATTTTTTGTTGTTATAGGATTTATACACTTTCTGATCTGTATATTTTTGTATTCTTGTTGAACGTTCCAATAAAAAATTGTTAAGCATCTGTTATTGAATCTGTTGATTACTATTATTTTGTATGTAGTGGTTCGTTGTCATGCTAACGTAATTTAAATGATTACGTTCTTCGCACCAATGACTCATCGATGAGCGGATATCTGTAGGTTTTTAATAAATCTGCACCCTTCTGCCTCGTACTTCATTCAGTTCTGCGTCCGACACACTTTTGTTTGAGCGCTTTTATTTTGTTTGGACGTCGTGACGTTATAAGGTCGCGCCGCGCCTCCTCAGTCGTCTGTGAGTCCTCTGATGAAAGGTTTGTTATTAACCGTTGTAAGTGTTTCTCACTCAAGTCAGTGTCGTTGGACGTTTTGTATTCGTACATATACTCAATTTCATTAATAAGCGTGGTATGTCGTGTTTTACAAACCATTGGTTTTGCGAGTCCACGTGAGTAACGGTTGCTTCATATTTTGCTCCCTGTGTCGTGAATAACGTTAAGTGTCACAAAGGCAGACATTTTCGGGTAACTTAAGCTAAACAAACTGGTGTGCTCGCTTGATTTGGTTAAAGTTGATGTTAAACTAACATTAAACATGACAACTACAAACAAATTGTAAATTCGTTATATATAACTACACACACACACATCCCTCTATCTTTATATATATATATATATATATATATATATATATATATATATATATATATATATATATATATATATATATATGTATATATATATATTGCTTATTTATTTTTGACAGTGAATCTGAGACACAAATAAAGTGTGACTTTGTTTTGAAACAGTTTGGTAGGCTAGCTCATCTTAAAGATAATAGCATTTTTAAAATAGCTAAATACATTTTAAATTCTAAATTTAATATAAAACTTATTATTTAAATTGTTTATGTAGTGAGAAATATATATATATATATATATATATATATATATATATATATATATATATATATATATATATATATATATATATATATATATATATATATATATATATATATATATATATATATATATATATATATATATATATATATATATATATATATATATATATATATATATATATATATATATATATATATATATATATATATATATATATATATATATATATATATATATATATATATATATATATATATATATATATATATATATATATATATATATATATATATATATATATATATATATATATATATATATATATATATATATATATATATATATATATATATATATATATATATATATATATATATATATATATATATATATATATATATATATATATATATATATATATATATATATATATATATATATATATATATATATATATATATATATATATATATATATATATATATATATATATATATATATATATATATATATATATATATATATATATATATATATATATATATATATATATATATATATATATATATATATATATATATATATATATATATATATATATATATATATATATATATATATATATATATATATATATATATATATATATATATATATATATATATATATATATATATATATATACCCATATATATATATATATATATATATA